TTGTGCTCTTAATTCATACACAATGTTTCACCGCACCGCACACACACACACTTCTCTCCTCCTCTCACATTATATGCCCTTCAATTTGAATATTCATTACTGAGCTCACGGTAAATTCAACTGAATTCGTGCAAAGATCCATCAAAAAGAGTAAAAAGTATATCAATTGTTGTGGATGCTAAGCCACTATGGCTCTGCTGTACAAAAGCAGGCGGCCGAGATGCCGACGGACTTCTTTTCAAGGTTCACGGTGCGCGCAGAAGGTCGACTTTGAGTTAACAGAAATAATGCAACTCCGCTCGGAGAAATCTATCAAATGCATTATTTGATTAAGTTCAATTGATTCAATTTGAATTCTTAAAATTTTTAAATAATAATTTTATATATATTCTATTTTAAGCTCTTTTAATTTCTTTTCTCGTGCGAGTCTCTCTTTTTTTCTACCGTTTCGAGGAAACAAAGCAAACATCTCGGTGCGCACTTCCCCGTGCGATTTCGCGAAAACAAGTCCCGTACGTTTTGTTGGCTGCTCTGCCTGCCCGTGCTCGCGGCTCGGTGCAGGCGGTCGTGGTCTATTAATTGATTACGGCATTAATAATTAATAAGGCGTCTCAATCTCTCGCCGGATTGATTAGCTATGCAAGAGCAGCGCGGCGTTTAAAAATATATTTATAAAAAGGGGAGCAGCGGTTCGTTGGCCGCTTTCCGCTTTGCAAAATCCCATCTTATTTTTTTAAGCACGCGCGCCTGTGTATATAAAAGTGCTCGTTTGCAGAAATATTTCAGCGATTGTTTTTCTCATTCACGCGACGCGATATCCGCTTGGAAGTTTTCGTATGGTGACGTATCGGACGTGTGCGAGGGCGAAGGAAGGTGCAGCGCGCACCGGTTGACGCCGCGAGATTGTTAACTCGCTGATGTCACACATTTATACACACATAGAGCCGCATTTCCGCACCGAGAGTGACTGAATGAACAACGTCCGTGAATGGAGCCGGGAAAAATTACGAACCAGGAAAACGGCAAAGTAATTTAATCGTGTCTCATTAAATTCCTAAACATTATTCTGTTGGTCTGTTGTGTGTTCTAAATTAGGAAAAAAAATACAGAAAATTCTTAAAAACCAAAAAGTATAAATATTTTGAGATATCAAATTGACGCACAAGAATATCCAAAGAACAGATGAAAATTTTAATAAGGTGAAATTTGAAAATTGTGACTTTAAAATTACAAATTTTTATATAAGAATAAATCTCTAAAATGTCTTTAAATATTAAAAATTAAAACCATTCAAACAAAATCTTTGAATTAACTGCAACAATAAATTTTAAATTTTAATTCCTATGTGATGAATTGTAATTCATTTTATTTCTTACCTAACAGTAACGTTTCAGAATGTTCCAGACTGATCAAATTTGACTTTTGGAAGAAGGTTTATAGATCGCCATCAGCTTCAATCAGAAAGCCATAAAAAAATCTGTCGCGAGCCGCCCACTCGCGGGCGCAGACTCTCTCGTTTCTTTCTTTTTCTCTCTGCAAATAAATTAAGCTAATCATAGCCTCGGGGGCAACCGCGATTTCGCGTCGATTCGCGAGAATTTATTCGCGTCCGTGGGCGCCGCGTGTCTTTGAGTCTCGGCGGGGTGCTCGGCCGGCCGGTGCGTTTGGCGAAATTTGCACCACATGGTGCGATCGGTGATGGATACGGAGGCCGCCAAAGAGGGCCATCCACGTACCACTGCGTTTTAAAACGAGGAGCTGCAAAAAGGCGGCACATTAGCAGACGCGTTCTCAGACGCAATTGGCCGCCGGCCAGCCCCCGACGGCGACAAATCAGCGGCGAATGCGATTCATTTTGCACACCGGAAAAGCAATTGTGCATGCCGAGGTCCCTCGAATAAAAAAAAATGTGACCTGGAAATTTTTAGGTCTTCCCCGGCGCTAAAACCATTTAAGCAGATCAAGACGCAAAAAAATCGATCCGATTTTTGAGAAAAATGAAGAATATATTTAATGGCACGGTTTAAATTTTGGGTGTTCTTATTATTGAAGGTTTCGTTGGAAATATAAACATAAAGGTAAAAAAAAAATACAGAAAAATGAATCTCGTTTATAATAATTTTTTTATTCGGAGCGACACTCAAGGACGCGCACGCGACGCCGAAAAAGAAGCGGCACGACAGCATGGAAATGACCGAATTCTTTGTTGTGCTGGCTGCTTTATTAGCGCAGGGTGCGAGAGAGTTCGCCGCCCGATCGAATTCATTTAGTTTCGACGGTGGCTATAAGCGCCTCTGCCAGACCGACGGGATGCTTCGGATTGCTCACCAGTGATGCACCGGCGGCGTTTGCAGCACCCCACACAAAACACACAGGGATCAATTTATAACAAAGTCGATCGAGAGACACGGCGAAAAGAAAGTCCCAAGTTGCCAGCCCAAATTTCAGGGGGTGAGAGAGAAGAAATCGTATTCGCAGCGAAAGTGAAAAGAGCGAATGAAACAAACAATCAAATTTAATTAAGTGCGCAGGACCATGATTAATTTATAATTTTGCTATTGATTTTTACATTAGGTTCTTTCAATCATCGGTATTTAATGGTATTTTTGCATCTATAAACAATTTTAATCCAAAATTAATTGTAATAATTCCAGAAATTTTCTGAAAATTTCATCATCAAACTGCTAAAATAAATATTTTGACCATATTCAGAGCAATAATAATTTTATTCCCATTCCGGCCCTTTTTTAAAATATACGCCCTTATTTTTATACATTTTATGAACATTTTTGTTCCATTTATCAACAATTTTACAGTTTCCGAGCAAATCAGTTTGACCGGGCCGGTGCAAATCAAGAGAGACAGGAAAAGGAAGCGGACCTGTTAATACACCCGGCACTTTTTACACACCGATAATATACTTCCATTTCAATGATTTTTGGTTCCACTCAGCCTGAACGTGCGTTGAAAAAACTGCTGTTTTATCTAAACGGAGAACGGAAAAAATTGCAGATTTTTATTCCCTGATTTGATATTATTACATATTTGAGGGCCCAAGGGAGACGGTCGAGTGCAAACACTGGAAGCGGCGTGTGTGTGTATAAAAGTATATCCATATCTAATTGAATATGGATTGGCCGCGGGCCTCTCCACCGAAATTCAGCCACACACACCACTCTGCTCTTTCTTTCTCTATGCATACATATATTACGGCCCCGTACTTACACAGGGGTGTGTCTGCCAACACGCGAAGAGTGTATGCTATTGATTTTCTTTAAAAAATCATACATATGTATAGGAGCGGCGACTTCTTGGGCCGCTGCTGCTTCGAGACTTTTGCCATTCACCCGGCAGAGTCTGCATGGCATGCAAATCATTAAGGGGCCATAGTATAGCGCCACATGCACGCGGCTTTGTTTTAAGAAAAACTTCTTTTCCTCGTTACATAAATTTTTTAATGCTTTGCTTTGTTATGTCACCGGCATGAAACTTGTGCGGAAATTGCTCAATTCGGAGCGGTTTGCGGTGAAATTGCAAAACTGGTCATAATTAAATACGTGTGTAACTTTTCAATCAGACAAATTATTGAGGAGGAAAAGTCTCATTGTTAAATTTAGTCACGCATTCAATTACAGGAAATACTCAAAATGTCAATTACGATCCTATAACTCGCAAAAATAAAATCGTTGAATGTAACGAAAAAGAAGAAAATTTTCAGTTATAACATTTTATTGTTCAAGACTTTTAAAAATGAAGAAGTCAGGCTTTTCCTCGTTGCAAAAATTGTTTTTCAAAAACATTTTCATGATCATCTCCTCGAGTGTCAACTTCTTGAAACTTTTAACAAGTCTGGTTTCTTAAACCATCTTCGATTGTGACTAAAAATTTTCTTTTTCTGATTTTAAATTTGAGAAATTTGTCGAAGGAATGAAATGACCTTTAAATAAGTTTTGTTTCAAGCAAAATTTTGAAAACCAACTTTATAATTTTCACCAACTTTTCATTTTTTTCTATATTTGTTCGAGTTTGGCTGAGAAAATTGAGTTTTTCCTACAATATTTTCTAACCATTTTTGTCAGCTCTAGCATGACATGATTACTCGGCGGGATGCATTCGTTTTGTGCGGCCCCCATGCGTTCCCGTCGCGCCTCTGCACGCAGATACACCCGGTGTGCAGTGCATTACCTGCATAATTCGAGCTCTGCGATACGCGCCGAGAGCTGATTATGCCGAGTGCATGCAGCGGCCGACAAACCGCAGAGCAAAAAGCGACACGGCAGACACCGGCAAAAAGCAGCATTTCGCAGCATTCCGACTTTCGTCCAGGTGAAATCAAACAGTACAGAATCTCCACTCGGCATTCCAACCATTTTCCAGAGAAATATATAGAAATAGAAATTTCACTCGCCCTTGACGCGGTGAGTGTGAAATTCTTCACCGTGTAAAAATCTAAAATAAAAAAAAAATTACCGGGTGTGCTAATTGAATAGAGTATGATATGCTTTCAGGTGGAGTGTGACGAGGGCCAAAACGTCACTTATGGAAGTGTTACTCATAAGGTAGACATGCGCGAAAACACAAAGCTCTCTCGGCAAACGTCGGGTGTTGCCAAAAAGTAAAAAATTCTGCAAATAAGATAAATTAAAAATAAACTCCGCGGTATTCTGGAATGCAGCCTTTGCGAATTTGCAGGTAGGTAATGATATAATTGGACTTATCGTTTCGCCCGCTTGTATTCATATAAACACGGGTCAAAATTATCACTAATTGCGATGCCGGTGACACGAACCGGTGACAAATTCGCAATAAATATAAATATAATACACATATGGGTGTGCAAACTCCTAATTTAATTAAAAAAAAGTTAATTACAAATAAATTCATAAAAAATCAAAAGTTGGAAGTTGTCGAAAAGCAGCAGAACGGCCGATAATTATAATTTGTTTTTAATTTTTGCAAATTTAAATAAAACTAATTGAAAATATTTTAGGGAAACTCACCGGAAAATCTGGCTAGGAACCTGTAGAACTGAGAAAACACCACAGACACACCACACAGAAGCACGCACTTGGGTAACGTCAAAGTCAGCGCCAGCAGCACGCAGCACCAGCAGCAGGGCCGGGGCCAGCCCGGCTCCCGGGGCGCCGACGAGCGGGGCCCCCGGCACCACCAGTCGGCACTCATCGGCGTCTGAGTCGGCGTCGTCGGCTGCATCACATGCTCTGGGTGGTCGGCGGTCGCATCTGTGCAGTGGATTTCTTTGCTTGCTAGGGCGGTCGCTAGGGTCTCAGTGCGCTCAGCTCGACACTCGCCACGATACTGCCGCACCGAGCCAGCCTGCGATCGCTCAGCCGGCAGACCGGCCGCCAGCGGGCGCAGCCGCCGCCGCCGCCGTCGGCCACTCGACGCCTCCACCAGCTGGAAGAAAAACTATTGGAGCGAGCGTTGCCGTCGCGAGAGGAGCTGCTTCGCTCGCTGCACTTTGCCATTTGCACTACCTGCAATTATAATAAAATCATAAAACACATATTTTTATTCAAATAAAAAAAAATTATTTATAAAATTTCATGTAATAATAATTTTGCAATATATAAATCATTATTTTGGTGCAATTTTATATTCATTGTTTTGAAATTTTTGTATTTCGAATTTCAACCACACACTTTGTCAATTTTTTACCAAAGTAGCTCCTGTTTTTTTTTTTTTGCTTGGGCTAAATGTATTTAAATTTTTTTTATTATTAATTAAAGCTATCATTCCATTCCTTGTATATTTTTAAATTAAAACCTGTGATTATTGGCCAAAACCTAAAATAAGTAAACCAAGGTTCACTTCGCTGAATGTAATCTTTTTGATAATTGATGTTTATGGCAAGACCCAACAATTTAATTTTTCCATTCCAATAGTTGTTCTTTTTTATAAAATATTTAAAAAAAATTAATAAATATATAAATAAAATCCATTGAAAGCAATAAAATTATTTAAAAATTAATACAGATTTTTTTTCACTCTCGTTTCAAGATCAAATTATTTGTATTTTTAAATTCGATGATGATGTGTCTTCCAATATAAATACAATTAAATTAGTTCCTTTTCACTAATCGACTTTGCGTAGAATTCCGTTCCATTGTCTCAAATATCTCGATCTCGTCTCAGAACGTAATTTCACGTAAAGGCGATTAGTCAAAAGTTACTAATTTAATTATTTTCCGTTTCGAGTTGTTTCTTTGGGATTTAAATTCTCATAAATAAAATTACTTGAAATTAAATAGCTTTTTACCAAAAGTGTGCATTTGTAAAGTAGGCATCCTGCTAAACGTTTTTGTTAAGAAAATTGCCAACCCCAAAGCCCACTTTCATCTAGGCCAATCCGCCTGTCAGCTGTGATCAACGGGAAGCCTATTTTAAAGGACATCGGCAGACTTGACCAAGAAAATAAGGGGCCACAAATAAAATTAATTTAAGTGCAGAGTTCACTGCAGGGGGTGGGGCCATTTTTATCTTAAGAAGTTTTAGCAAAATTCTTACCAGTGGGGGTTTTGTCTAACAATTTCCTTTTTATAAATAAATTGCTTTCAAGAATTGAATTTATACAATGTATAGTAACAATATGGACAAATAAACAACAAAAAGGTCATTGTCACAATCGCTGGTGCTAACATGATGATATCCTGTTCCTAAAATTATGACAATCATATATTGGAGATAAATTATTAGTAAGTTTTGATTAAAATTTAGAATTCAATAACTTTAATGACAATACAAAATTTGTCCATCAGTATAATTTCTGTAAAATAAAAACAAATGTTCCATCACAGAAAAATTAAATAAAAAAAAGTTGTTCCAAATTTGTTTTTATCAATTAGAAAAATAGATAAAAATTAACAATACAATAAAATTCCATATAATTATTTTAATTTATAATTTATGATTCACAATTGATTTTAATAGAATTATTCTTATAAAAATATAATTAAAAACATATGCTTAATATTTTATAAAAATAAATATGAGGAGTAAATTTTTGTTAACGATTTATATAATAAATTTTGATATTTTTGCAAGCTATTTTTTATAAACTTTCAATGCGAGATTACAATATAGCTAATTAAGAAAACTATTGTTAAATTATTTGTTGTTGTTTGACTTTGATTATTCAAATCACCGATTAAAAGCCCAATTTGTCCATACCTGGAATCTAACCATCGTGACCTCCCTCACAACAAAAGATATTTTCATATTATTTATTTACAGAGCGCCCCATTAATAATCAGTCATGCCGATATCAGTTTGATTCATCTCACTTTCAAATAAGACTTCATCGAAAGTGCCTCCGAAAATAGACCGGGCCGCGCATTACTTATGCATTTGACGACATTGAATTGAATAACTAGTGCAATAAAAATCTTGATGTATAAATACAAGAGCAAGTGATATTGATCCATAAAGACAAAGCATATAGAAGATGACTTACTTTATCCTCATCTGGAGGCGTTTATTGCACGTTCTTATGCAACCAGCGCGTCACAGGGATTATCAATGTTTATATTTTTAAACGCGTTATGTCACTCGGCGCGCTTATTTTGGTCCCGACTTGTTTGAAAATGCGAATCAATTAATGAGGAAAGCAAATAAATGTTATTGAAAGTGCTGGGAAATACAATGATGACGGTGCGCGCCGCGCGATAACGACTGTATTAATGGGCACTGTCGCCGTGACGTCACAACATGCTGGCGCTGGCAACACTTACTTATGCTTCATGTTGCACACTCGTGTAACCTATTTAAAATCAAAATAATGCCGCAAGGTTGTTTGAAAAAAATCATAACCTGAAAAGTATAATATTTTTAATAAATTTCTGAAATATTTTTACTTGGAAAGGTTGAAATATTGGAGGGTTCCTTTTAAAACAATTTGAATCCAATTTTTTTTTCTAAAAAAAATAATAAACTTTTATCCACTTTTATCAAACAATGCGATTGTGTGTATAAGGAGAAATTTCGACTGAACTTCTGAGAAAAAGTTTGCTCGCCCCTCGGAAAGTTTTCTGCTATCAAATGCGGAAAGTGTCCCATCACGATGATGGCACTGCGATAAAATCCCGACTCGGAATGAGGCAAAGGGAGGAAAAACAAGGTCGTTCTATCGGTTTGTTTCTGTGCATAAATGTATAAACCGTGCGTGGCTCTTCTTTTCTTCCACTTTCTTTCTTTTTCTCTGTTATGATAGCGAGCAGCTTGGGGGTTGTTCTATGCAACCCATCAATTTTCCAATCAATCCCCGCATAGTTTGGCCTTGTTTGGGTTTGACATAACAAAAGTATAGTCCCTATTCCCATACGTGACGGGCGACCGTAAAACACAGACACAAATGTACGTGAGCACGCGTCTGTAACGCTCAATTTGCAATGTTTTTCGGCTGAATACATGGTTGATTTTTTTATTATGTAGTTTTTGCGGAGAAATAATAAAAGAAGTTTATTATTCTTTCCATATAACTCCTATCACAGATGATCAGAAATGTTTAAGAAGCATAAGAGGAAAATTTAATATCTAGAAATAATTTAATTTAGATTCTAAGCAAATCTGTTCGCGAAGTAAATTTTATTTTTTTTTTAATTATTTAAGCGTATTTTCAGAATAATTATTATGCTATAGCAATTATAGAGAGAGATAAGAAATTGTTTTAATAAATAATACAGGATAAAATAAATTTACATAAAAAATAAATTAAATTCTTTTTAAATATTTGGGAATTAATAATTTATTTATAAAAATCTGTACGCTAAAAATTTGTTTAAAAATTTGGTCAGCAAAACTAAAACCTAAAGTGTAAACTGAATTTGTTGATTTGAAAATCTCTACAAATTTAAAAGTAAAAAATTTACAATGAAAAAACTCATAAATAAATGGTAATGAATATCAATTTTGTTCTTCAGAGAGTTTGAACGATCAAACACGGCAAAGTCAGACAGAAGAAAGAAATGTCTGGCGAAAGAAAGAAAGGGTTGAGTGGTTCGCGGCTCGGTGTGTTCGCACTCTCGGCAAACTCAATACTATGCTCTCCGTTTCTCGCCAACGGGAGGCGAAAGAGGGCGCCCGCCCGGCTATTTGCGCGCCGTTGCGGGCATTCTCTGATGTCTGCACTATTCCTGGATCTTGACAAAAACTCAATAATTAAAATAACCAACCCCTTGATGTGAGCCGCAGCCAGTGAGACTACTTCACTTTTCGCGTATTCGTTTTATTGCCGGGTTTACTGCGTGCGTTGCAGCCTTGCGGTCGGTCGGTGATGCCGTCGGAATGGCAGCGAGAAAAAGGTGAAAAACGATTTCGGCGTGGAAATCCCAAAACACTTCTTGATACTTTCAATATTCAAAATAAAGGAGAGCTTCTTTAATGCACATAAATTAGATTAATTTGATTGATATATTTATAATCAATTTATTCTTGCGAAAGGTGAAATTTGATCTTTTGAATAAAAAATTTTGTTAATAGATATTTCGTGATTTTTTTAATTTTTAGATGGATGAAATTAAGGAAATTTTTAAGTAAGATTGGTTTCAGCTGTTAATTTTAAATTTTCACTTCTTAAATTAATTCAAAACTCAAATTGGTTGTAATTATGAAAGTAAATTATTAAAATTTAGTATCAGGGGAAGCCAAAATTGTATCTAAATTTTATTCAATTTTTTTCGTAACATTGTATATAATTCATTATTTTGGTGCAATCACATAAATGCTCATTCACAGCAGTCTGCATAGCAGCAGACCTCCTTGTTGAACAACTCTAAGGTCAAGTGGAAAAGAAGCAATGTTCAACAAGGTGCGAGCTTTATTGGTGCGTGTGTGCGGCTCTGCCGGTTGGACCGTCGGTCGGCGAGAGGAGGAAAAATATTTGCGGAATCCGGCGCTGCTGCCGTCGAAGATTGTGCATGTGTGAAAAAAGCGGCTGCTGGAGCTATAGAGAGATCACCCACGCTCCTCATCTGGACCGAAGTGGCTGGCTTGGTACAGACGAGGCACCCAATGGGTGTGTGTATCGAATGGCAAGCAGGGGCCAAGCAGCTTTTTTGCGAAAAAAAAATCTGGGGATTTTCTCAATCATGATTTTTTGATATTTCAGAGGAAGTTAGAGATTTAATTTGCAAGCTTGAATTATATTTCAAATAAAACATTTTTAAGATCATGTGATACAAAATATGGCATTTCAGTCAATTTAAATTAATTTTTTTTGCAATTGTAACATTTTTTTTAAATTAAAAAATATCATTAAAAAATTTATGCAAATATTGTGCTTCAAAACAACTTTTTGACAGTTGGTGATGGATTTCGCCAGAAAGCAGAAGTGAATTTTTGCATCAGAATGCTGCTTCGGAGGGCGTTCGTTTCCGTTTTCCTGACGCGGATGGAGAGTAAGGTGCTCGCGCTTTATCAAGATCAAACACGCTCGCTCGCCTTCACTCGGCTCCATACGGCGTCAATAATTGCGTAATTAAAAAAGTAAATACACAAAAAAATCGAGTGATAAAAGAACAGGGAGACGAACGTGGGAACTGGGCGTGTAGAAGTCACATCATCATCTCCGTTGGCGGCGAGCGGCAGCAGAGCTCTCTCACTAAAAGAAGTAAAAAAATAATTCTCTCTTCTCGGTGTGCTTTGAGGTGTCAGGTATGCGAGAGAGAGAAAGACGGACGAGTCGCTCCAGATGCCGGCACTTGATAATGTACCTGCGCCGCACGTCAGGTCAAAGAGCAGACAAATCGGCTCGCGGGTCACTTCTTTTGGATGCTGCGAGATTGAAAAATGGACCTAATCCTTTCCTGGCAGGGGTGAATCGATTTTCGCTCAGCATCAAAGCGGCGAGCGCCGGATTTGTCTTCTTTTTCCCTATCAGAGAAAACTTTCCGTATCCAAAGAAAGATACAAAGAAAGAATACCCGCTTCACAGAGGGAATGAGAAAAATGTTGCTCGAAAAGGTTTTCTGAAATAAAAGCCTATCAAAAGTTTTGCTTCGCATTCGCCATGAAGTTTTTGACTTGATTTATACACTCATCAGCTGATAACTATTTGGATTAATGAGAGTTGCAAAGAAAAAAAATTAACTTCTAGATTAAGAGACTGATGAAATGTATTTTAATGAAATGTGACACTGGATATTGATAGAAATGTAAGGTACAATATTTTTTTTTAAATAAATAAATTTTTGAGCAATTTGCAATTTTATTTATTGGAGCAAGTATTTTTGGTCTTGCAATATTTTTTGTTCTATAAATAATTTAAAATAACTACAGACATTCAAAATCACTTAAAGAACAAGACGGACAGCATGAAAAAGAAATGATTTGAAGAAAAAGTGATTTTCACATGCGCTTCTTCCGAGGTCGCAAATTTCGCAAAGTCACGGTTTATAAAAACAACAGTTCTCTCTCGACCGACATTCTTGAAATATTTACAAGTCACCAAATTGCACGTCGGATTCGCGAGACTCTCCGCGCCCTGCTGTTAATTCACATTATTTCGCCGCACGTCTGGTCGTATTTCGATTGAGCCGAGACGGACCCCGGAAGACGCCGGAAAATCCAAAACCAGTATTACACGCACGCAGGGTGTTTTAATAAAGCGGACAAACAAAACCGACGAAAAGCTGCTGCTGCTGCAAAAAAAGCCGCTTTCAATATCACTTGATGATTACGCGCCGTTTTCTTCTTTTCTCCCGCGTGCGTCGTCGGATTTTCACGATTTTCATTGTTCGCATCCTCTCTCGGACTCTGTACTGGAGGTTTGGCTGGTTCATTTCCGTTTTCTCTCTCACTCGCTCTCTAATAATAATCATAATAGAGAAGAGAGAGAGACGTAGAGTGTGTGTATGTGTGTGCCATAATAATGTGTGTGTGCATCTGGGGGGTGGCGAGGAAGGGGGCGGTTTGAATTTTTGATCTCAATCGCGATAAATAGGCGCGCTCTTGAAGCCAGCGCGCGTGCCTTGTGTGTGTCTTTGGCTCAAGTTTCGCTTTTCTACTCATTGTCCTCGGACGTTTCTCTAAATCACCTACAGCGAGCCGGCGATTAATTTGATTCAGCCGGACACGCATGACAAGCAAAAGCGATTGTGGATTCCAAATGTGCTGCACGTGGCAGCGCGATGGTGAAAATTAAAAATGATTTATGCAAGACAACATTTCTTAGATAATGAATTACATAA